TTCTGATGTTCTAAGAGATATATGTCAGCAATCTATTGACACTGGAATTTTTCCATCAAGTTTTAAAATTGGATCGGTAATGAGCTTATACAAAGCCAAAGAACACTATTTACCGGAAAACTACCGACCCATAACACTGTTGCCCATTCTTTCGAAGGTTATAGAACGTGTAGTGTTTAATGCTCTATATGATTATCTAACAAAAAATAACCTGTTAAATGCCATGCAATCTGGTTTTCGCAGAAAGCATAGCACAGTCACGCAACTAATAGAATTTGTTCATAATATACATGAAGATCTTGAGAACGGCAAAGACGTTAAAGACAGCAAGGATACGCTGGCAGTTTTTCTTGATTTTAGTAAAGCTTATGACAATGTGTGGATCAAAGCACTCTTATACAATTTAGAAAAAAAAGGAGTTAGGGGAAACCTGTTAAATGGGTCCCAAAGTTATCTTACTGGAAGGTCGATTGTAACTATCGTTAGTGGGAGGAGCTCTAAGCCAAGAAATATAAATCGCGGTGTCCCTGAAGGATCTATTTTGGGTTCCATCTTGTTTTTAGTCTACATTGACGATTTTGACTCAGATATGGGGTGTATCACCAGAAAGGTTGCTGATGATACAGCAATGTCACATTGCGATCACGACCGGATGAAAGTAATAGTTCATATGTACAATGATCTGATAAAAGCATATGATTGGTCAGTGGAATGGCAAACACCTCTAAATATTGGCAAATGCTTCTGTATGCTATTATCAAGAAAATCCTCTAATCTGCCTGTTGCCCCTGTTTCTATTGGTACAACCCAACTTGACTTCGTTTCGGAGTATAAAAGTTTAGGCGTTGTAATATCAAAAGAATTAAGTTGGCAAGGTCACATAAAATATATTACTACTAAATGTTATAAAATAATTAACTTATTGAAGTTCCTCAGGTACAAACTGTCTACAACTGCCCTTGAACAGATTTATAGTTCATTTTTTCTACAAACATTAGGTTATGCCGATCGTATCTACACATCGACATATGAAAGTCATTTAACTGAGCTTTATAACTTCCAATATCAGGCTGCGTTAGCTGTAAGTGGAGTCCTAAGGTTGTCAAGTAAAGGAAAAATTTTGCAGTGTTTAGGTTGGTTACCGTTAGATAAACTCTTTCTTCAGCATAAATTTATTTTATTTTATAAAATAATTAAAGGACTTGTTCCTCCATATTTATCCTTATGTTTACCAAGCAAGGTAAAACATCGGTATTGTACAAGATATCAAAATAATCTAGACATACTTTCGATCCAGACTCATAGAGAAATATTCGATAAAAGCTTCTTTCCTTCTACTATCGCTAAATGGAACGGGCTACAACAAAACATAAAAGAATCCAAAACTTTAGCTATTTTTGTGAAATCTTTAAAAGTACATATACAGCCGAACTCAACTGTTTATCGAGTATACAACATTCCAAGAAAAGCTGATATCATCTACTACCAAATAAGATATGAACTACATAATTGCTACAAATCGTTTTAAGTTTTTAAACTAACCATCCAAATTTGTTGAACGTAACTTTATTTATATTCAAATGAAAGCGGCTTCTAATTTTGTTGAAAAAATGACATGGTAAATGTTATAAGCTATTACAGGTAAACAGCAAGAAAAAAATAAAAATAACAGGGAAAGAAGGGAAAAAAGTGTAAGGATGAACAACAAGAAGAATAAAATGATGCACTCTATAAATTTAAGGCACTGCACAGACGCAAGCGAAAGCCCAACAACAGTGTGGGGATCACAACAAATTTGGATGATTAGTTTAAAACCTTAAAACGATTTGTAGCAATTATGTAGTCTACCACTGATCTGGCTACAAGTCTGTAAGAGTCCTTCTCAAGAGATACTTTAAGAGAGAAAAGAGCCAGATTAAGAGGATTGCCGTTCAGTAAGGATCGTAAACTGTTATATAAATGATTTCTAGAGAAAGTATAACGGGGACAATGAAGAAAAAAATGTTGTCGTGTTTCTAATTCGCCACATTGGCCACGATCAGTATCAGATGAATGCTTTTGATAGAGATCGGCATTTAACTACTAATGCAGATAGGGTCCTCCAGTCAAAAATTCTTTCCGAATGTCAGCGGAGAAACTCTCATTTGCGGATCGAAATATGCAACTTTGTATGCTCTTTCCAGCTAGCAGTATGAGAACGCTTGTTAGTATTAGATAAGACCGGAGTTCGCTGTTCTGGCATCCTTAAAAACGCTTTAATTCAGAACTTATGGCCGAGGAAAAACCATGTACGGAATAATTCTTCCATGGGGCGACAGGAGTCTTGACATATCTTTAGTAAGACAATCGATTGCATATAGTCAAACCTTCCCAGCTTTTAGCTCATGTAATACTGGGCGGACCTGTGCGGAAGTACCCAGCTGCTGATTATTTTATTTTTATAGTTCATCATAGATTGTGTTGATATGCTGTTTCAACTGTGTATTTGTCAATAAACAAACGTTTTCTTCAGAGATTTTTTTGTCTTGAATACATTGTAGAATTACTTTATATACTTTTTGGGTTTAAATGATTTTTTGAGGTCAGGATCTCTTTTGTGGTATCCGAGTCGCCACATTGTCAGCAACAAAAGTTAGCATTAGTTTCCTTTATATTCTTGTCATTGCGAAGAAAATAATTTGTTTATAAAGATCACAAAAATACGAAATTCTGCTCGTATTTTTCGGTTTTAACCATCAAATTTTAGTTAGTCTTCAATACTGATATATTCGAAATATTGATGTACCATAGGTATTCGCATGTCAAGCTTTTTTCGAAATACCTGCGGTAATCGCGGTAACCACGCGGTGTTCAGAACTATCGTGGTCTAATAAAAGACCGCGAGGTTCATTCACCTTTTCGTTTTGCATCCATGAATGCTCACAAGACTTCTCAAGTTTCCAAAAGAATAATTTTATTGTAGATTATTACATTTTCTATTTTTAATTAGTCATGGCGAATGAGAAAATTTCTGTTGTGGATGGCATCAAGAAAACGAATATACCTTATGGTCGTTTGGGTAGTAGTGGATTACAAGTGAGCCGTATTTGTTTAGGTATGATGACATTCGGTGATACAAAATGGCGAGAGTGGATTCTAAACGAAGAACAATCGAGACCAATTATAAAACGAGCACTTGAATTGGGAATTTATTTTTTTGATACAGCTGATGTGGTAGGAAAATTAAGAGACATTCGGATAAATAACAGTTACCATTCTATAAAATGTTTTATGTTTCTCCTACAGTATTCATTTAGTGTATGTGAAGAGATAACTGAACGTGCATTAAATGATTTTGCTATTCGCGAAGAAATTGTTGTGGCAACAAAAGTATTTCGCACCATGTCCGATGGACCAAATCAGAAAGTCTTAAGTAGAAAACATATATTCGATGCTTGTGACGCGAGTTTAAAACGTTTGAACATGGATTACATTGATTTATATCAAATTCATCGTTGGGATTACGAAACACCGATTGAAGAAACAATGGAAGCTCTTCATGA